GGAGTTAGGGCGCACTGGCATTGCTGCATGGGGGGTGGCTGCAGGCCGGGAGTTAGGTGAACTGGCATTGCTGCATGGGGGGTGGCTGCAGGCCGGGAGTTAGGGCGCACTGGCATGGCTGCATGGGGGTGGCTGCAGGCCGGGAGTTAGGTGCACTGGCATTGCTGCATGGGGGGTGGCTGCAGGCCGGGAGTTAGGTGAACTGGCATTGCTGCATGGGGGGTGGCTGCAGGCCGGGAGTTAGGTGCACTGGCATGGCTGCATGGGAGGTGGCTGCAGGCCGGGAGTTAGGTGCACTGGCATTGCTGCATGGGAGGTGGCTGCAGGCCGGGAGTTAGGTGCACTGGCATTGCTGCCATTCAGGTTTGAAGTGTCTCAGCAGAGGACCTGAAACAGGTTCTGCAGATACTGATTAAGCATCTATGGAGATGTATAGGGCAACAAGAAGCAGTGTGGCCTAGTGGACAGAGCACTGTCCTGGGACTCAGAAGACCTGGGTTCTATTCTCAGCTCTACCACTGGCCTGCCCAGTGACCTTGGGAAAGTCACTTCGCTCCGTGCCTCAGTTTCCCCATGTGTAAAATGGCGCTAACGCTGCTTTGCAAAGTGCTCTGAGATTGACTGATGGAAAGCGCTGCCTAGGAGCGAGCCGGTGGTGTTATCTGCTTCCCGAGTTATGCTTCGGTTCAGCCACAGCAATCATCACCCCCCTCCACAAACACTGCGGTGAAAGTGCTAATCCCCAGCAGCGACCGTCTTGGATGCGTGGGTAGATCTCACGCCCTCCCGCTGCCCGCACAGCACCCACACCAACCCGGTCCTGCTCCTGCCGGCTCATGGCCTCTCGCTTCTGCCGCTCCATCTCCACGGTCACGCTGGCGAGGCTGTGCTGGGCGCTGGTCAGCTTCTCCGACAGGAGGGTCTTCTCCGACTCCTTGAGGGACAGGGCCTGCATGGATGGGAGAGAAACTCAGAGGGCATGTGGCACTGGTGTGACAGGGGCGAGATCCAGGGGGTAAACTCGGGGGGCAGGGAGATCCCTGGAACAGCATTAAAGCCAAATGGCAATAAAGGCAGTGGGGGCTGGAGCCCGGGTTGCTGGGGAGTGGGTGGGAGCGGCAGCGGCTGTTCTGCCTACTGGGAGCCAGCACATGTGGGGTCTGGTGTGGGGCTGAGCGCCTGCCAGGATCCGGCCCCAGCTCTCGGCTGGAGTTAATGGGAGCCTCCCCCAGGACGGGGCCGGCAGCAGTGCCAACCCCCCGCGCCCCCTCCCCTACCTGCTGCTTCTCATTCTCCGCCTGCAGGAGGCTCTCGTCCCGCTCCTGCTGCAGCGCGGTGATCTCCTCGCTCAGCTCCTCCTTCTCCGCCTCATAGCGGGCCAGCAGCTCCTCCCGCTCGTGGCCCAGCCGGTGCAGCAGCTCCTCCCGCTCCGACTCCAACTCCAGGCGCACCGTCTCCTGCACGGACCAAGCAGCAGACGCCAGAGCTCTAGGTGAAGGCTCCAAAGCCACGGCTTGGGCGCAAGCCCATCCCCGGTACCGGAGGGGACAGCAGACCTAACACGCGGCCCGCTGGAGGCGGGAGTCCAGGGAGGTGCACGTGACCCCTAATACAGACGCAGCTGATGGTGAGTTCCAGGGCTGGAGGCCTTTGTCTTCAGAGCTGTGGGTCCCAAGGAAACTAACCAGCAAACCAAATTGAGTTGATGCCCAAACCCATGCTAACTCCTCCCTAGACTGCAGAGGGAAGGCAGGCTCTGTGGCCCTTTCCAATTCCAGAAAACAGGACACTCTTGCCCCGCCCACTGCCCCACCCCTTCCCTGAGGCCCCACCCCTTCCCTGAGGCCCCACCCCTGCTCACTCCATTCCCCCTCCCTTCGTCACTTGCTCTCCCCCACCCTCTCTCACATGCTCATTTTCACTGCAAGGCCCAAACAAGCATATTTCTTGTTTTGACAGATGTATTATGCTAAGTTCAGGTTTTATTTGTTACAGGACGCTAGAGCTGGGATGAGGGGCACGGGGGGGTTGGGACGGGAGGGATGCAAGGTCGGGGGATGGGCGCGGGGGGTGGGATAGGGAGGAATGCAGGGTCGGGGGATGCGGTGCGGGGGGGTAGACGGGGAGGAATGGCAGGGATGGGGGTGC